AGGGCTGAACGCGAACTCAGCGCATGCTGCTGTCAAAAAAAGATTGTTTTAAGTAAAACACAGACATCCAAGGACGCGAGTTAAGTCAGTTTTATTAAATAAATAAAACGATCGGTTTGAGTTTATGGTGGAAGGCGACTTTTGTATAACTTTTGAGAGACAAAGTTGTGATCCATATTTTCACAACTGACAACGCCTAGGCGCCTGCCACAGGGTCGTCTGTCTGGATGACGCTATGAGTAATATAAATAGAGAATGCATCTTCACTCTAACAGATGCCACTGACAGAATTTTCACAGTTATGCGAAAGGTACGACAACTGAGTCTGAAGTTAAGGCACACTCCTTCCTCTCGGGATCATAAATAACAACACAAGCACGGTGTATGCAGAATAACTGGTATTAGAAAAGAAAGTTCTTTTTGGCAAGAACTACAATGTGATACAAAACTCAAATTACAAAACGTCAATGAGTTATTCAGAAGATACAAGTTCTTACCTGCAGCGAAATTTTCTCGTCGTCCCGGAAGCCCATTTCTGTTAGGCGTTGCTTGCGGTATGTTTCGTAGTGCACTACATGTGTGCGTTCGCGCAGATCTTCCATGTTAACGCGGAGCAACATTTCACGGAGACGCACAAAATCACAATGGGTTTCATTTTCCACTTGTACAGAGCCCCAGGGGTACTGGCGTACACGAAGCGTTCGTCCATTTATCTTTGCCTCCTCTGTACTACCGACAACCGCGAAAGGAACCAGTAACTGGAAGAAATTGTACAGCATTAAAAATATTAAAATACAGCTTGAAGCTGGCAGTGTCAAACAGAGCAGGAACATAGGAACCTTATTAACTGATGCATGAGAGAAGACGGTAAGGAAGGCAGGCGAAGAGACAGGACAATAAACTTGGAATTTTAATCAATGGCTACTTTGCCTAGCATGAATAACTTAATGCTATAAAAAAACATACGCAGCAGGGCATTTAATAAAGCACATTCTACAGAAAACTGAAAGGAAATGCGGTACATGCGACAGTGCAAACAAGGGCTATTAAACCTGTACAGTTGCAGTGACTTACGTTTGTGCTCTTATTCACTTCACTGACTACTTCATCGTCAGTGGGAAATTCGTAGAGGTGGATATCACTTGCTTTTATTTCTGAGATGACCTAATATTGTGAGATGAACAAATAAGATTTTTGATAGACGTACGCGGGCCTTAAACTTGAGTAACTCAGCCTTTGTTATGGTATCAGATTTAGCGATCACAGGGATGATGTTGACCTTGTTCTCCAACTTTTTCATTGACACGAGATCCACAGACTTAAGACTAAAAAAAGATGGACAGTCACAATGAAAGCAAACCAAAGAAAAAGCATACAGGTACTAAGCAAAAATTAGGATAGCAAATGAAAAAAAAACTTTCCTATCAGAAGTTGAAGGCAAACAAACAACTTTAAAATTTGAAGAAAGAAATTCGAAACTGTACAGGCCTTAGTGAGTCTTACCTGTGACCCGTAGGAGCGATGAAATACAAGCATACATGCACTCGCGTGTCGTGGTAATTATGCATTGCGCGCTTGATTTTAAGCTCTTCCTGTAGGTAACTTTCGTGCTGGGCATCAAGGAATTCTACTACACTGTCCACACTACGGACGTAAAAAGAGACAAAAGGACATACCAGTTCGATTTGTTTATCTGGTCACCAAAACCCACAGTTTCCGTTACAGTAAGTTTGAGTTTTACGTTCGATTCCTTGAGATCTACGGAAAAATAAAACTTGCAAGCAACTAACCATATGTTGATGACTTCAACTTGACTTCTGTCAAATCATGAGAGGCGGGAGTGGAATCGAACTTTTGATTAAAAAGTGTCTCAATTAATGTTGACTTTCCTAAGCCAGTTTCTCCTGAAGAAGACGGATTAAAAAAAGAATAACGTAACGTACCCACACAAAGAATATTGAAAACGAAGCCTTGGTTAATCGACTTTTCAACAAGTTGATCCGGCAGACAATCAAAGCCCACGCGTCCATTCAGTTTTAATGCTCGACAGTCAGGACCCTAATAAATTTATATTAGTCAATGAACTGATACTCACCAAACGCTTTGCGACCTCAGCAGCCATCGCCAGAAACGTTAAACGGGCGGTGATACAGTGTTCGAAAGCGTTAAAAGTCGCGCTTGATTTTTAACAATTGTCTTTGTCAAATAGAGGTTCAAGGTTGGACTTCTAGGCTTAGGTGATTTCCGAGCTCACAGTTGACCGCACTCATATGCTGTCATTTCAGCCATCGAAAACTACATGAAAATCGTCCATAGCATAAAAATAATCAAAGTCTCGAGTTTTTTCACAATTGGGTTGTAGGCCATTAGCCTAACCTCTATTTGTTTAAATTCACTAGCAAATATTATTTTCGTTTTAACGCAAGCCGCTCGAAAATACAGTCGATTTTTACGACGTGCTGACTTCTCGCACACTCTGCTTACACCACTGCACTTCTCAAGATATTTCCACCTCACCGGCGCTGTTTTCTTCGCCCTTCAACGACACCATTCTCTGGTGATCATTCCCGGG